TTTTTTTTTTTTTTTTTTTTAAGAAAAAGAGCTCCTCCGCTTTTTATTTGGATATACAATAAAAACAAAAAACCAAAGGTCAGAAAAAAACTTCCAGGCTCCTGTCAGAACAATGTACTTTGCGGGCACGCTTGTCAGTTACTGAAGATTCGTAACAGTATTAAAATGATTGGGACTATCAGTTCTGTTTGCCCAACAGACATCATTTGAGCGAATCTTGCAAAGAACATAAATGCAGCACAGTGCTCCATTATTTACAAAGATTCAGACAACTGCAGGGGGAGAAAAGAACACCTTTGTGTTGAGACCGAGACGGTAGTTGGTATCACATTTCAGACACATTATGTATCTTGCTTTGTTCACTTAACCAGGCTTCCCCATGATTCAACGTGGGACATCACGCCCAACAACCTGGGTTTGCATCCCAGCCCAGCCCTGGAGGCCCCACGACCTTGAGCACCCAGCTATGGCTCCTGCTGGGCCCCAACGCCTCGCCTCTCCAATGGGATAAAAAGAAACCTACCTCGTGGTGTTATTTCAAGGATTAAAAGAGATAAAGTAGGTCAAGTACCAAACACAGAGGAGGCAACCCAGAAATCTTAAATTCCCTTTTTCTGGCTCTTTCTGAGCTCTTCATTTTAAAAAGCTACACCATTTCCTCACTGATGCCCTTATTACTGGCTATTTAGGGAGCTCACAATTATTTGCTCTTTTGAATAATTCTCTGATAAACATCTTTGCCCAGGTAGTTTTTCTCCAATATTTTGGATTTGGGGGGAGAAGGGGAGCCTAGATTCCCGGAAGTGGAATTACCAAACCAAAAGCTCATTAAGTCATTGACAAGCTGCTTTCTAAAAGTTTAATGATTTACACGAACACCAGAAATAATGTAATAGTGTTCTTCATACATTTATTTTCATATGGTACACACACATTTCTTTTGTGTATTTTCTTCCTATACTTTGGCCATTTATCTTTCCTACCCTTTGAGGTCTGTCCATTTATCAATTTACATGAGCCATCCTCTGTAATAAAAAAACCTCTTGGTCATATCTGCTGTAAATCTTCCCCAGGTACTACTATCCTCTTGCTTTTGGTAATTTTCAGACATATATGTTTGATAATTTTACACAGTCAGAAAGGGAACTCTTCTAGTATCTTAGTATTTTTTTCATTACAAGTTTTTACACAATTTAATCTATTAGAAAGTATTCGAAAATAATTTCTTCAAATGTTTCTTACATATAATTTCTATATTCTTGTAGATTAAAAATGAACATGTCTGAATTTTCTTTGGCATACGTGCTATGCAACAATTAACAGAAGAAACAAGACTCACTGCAAGGCACAGTACCTGTAAAGTATGGGACACCCTGTAGGATGTCAGGATATGTTATTTGTTTAGTTGACAGGCAGACAGACAATGAAAAATACAAGAACTACCAAGGAGACCATGGATAATTATCCACCAATTATTGCAAATTTGGAATTGACCTACACTGATTTTTTTTTTTAAATAATATGTACTTATTGATTTCAGACAGAGGAAGGGAGAGGGAGAGAGAGATTGAAACAACAATGATGAGAGTCACTGATTAGCCTCCTGCACACCCCCCGCTGGGGATCAAGCCCGAAACCCGGGCATGTGCCCTGACCGAGAACTGAACCTTGATCTCCTTGATCATCAGTCAATGCTCAACCACTGAGCCACACTGGCCTGGCTAAACTAATTTCAAGTATATATTCTCTTCCCTCTGAGAATCATCAGTCTGTTGTATGCTTCCATGTCTCTGAATCTATCTCAGAAGGAAGGGAAGAGGGGAAAAAGAGATTAACCAAAGAACTTATATGCTTATATGCATTACCCACGGACACAGACCATAGTGCAGTGAAGGCCCAGAGAGGGGGCTGGGGGGGGGG